TGTTGCCGGCTATTAGATAGTAGATCGACGTCGATTTTAGTATCTGAAGGATAGAACAACTGGAAACACTTGTCTTTAATGTTAAAAATTCATAAGAATAGCACTTCTCATAAAAAGTTTTACCTTTCATGGTTCTACACTGAACTACATTTAAAGACAGGAAAAACAAACGACTGCCAAGAGCAACATTTTGTTAGAAAAGTAACTACAAGGTGGAATAATGTTTTGTCTAGATTGATGCATTTTACGCTTAATGTAGCTGAAAACAATATGGCGTTCAGAGGTACTTCCGACAAACTATATACACCTAATAATGGAAAGTTTTTGGGCTTAGTATTGCCGCTATGTCGTCTGTAAAACCAGTCACTTTATTTGGAGGTTGTTCACATTTTTTTCACCTTCTGTTTATTGATAGAAAATTCTAACCGATCACTTGAGATTATATACAATTAAAAAGCTCAGTGACACACGCTTGAAAGCAAGAATAACCAGTGTTAAAGCCGTCCGTTTTCAAATTAGTGCCATTCATGATGCTTTAATTACTTTGGCTACTGAAAATAAAAAAATGATGTTCAAGTCTCTCATGAGGCTACTACTCTAGCTGAACAGTTAAAAGATTTCAGTTTCATAGTTTCGTTGTTTGTTTGGAAAATACTTTTTCATGTTAATGTCATTAGTAAATCTCTACAATCAACCGATATGGGTAAATGCACAGAAATGTGGAAAAATGCTGCACTTTCTTGGAGGAATATAGAAATACAAGATTCAAAAACACCATTTTAACGGCAAAGGGATTGGCAGAAAAACTAGAAATCAAGCCTATGTTTAAAGCACATAATGAGTTCAATGTGTTAAGCATCAAGCTGGAGAAACTGTAAGCAATGAGCCTATAACTTCTCCAAAAAAAAATATTTGAAGTTGAATTTTTCAACTGTCTTTTGGACTCATTAACTTCATTCAACGAAAGATTTGATCAGTTAAGTAAGTACTCAGAATTTTTTTTTGTACAATATAAAACAGATTCCGGAAAAACCTGACCTTGTCAAACTTTGTGGTAATGTCCAATTGAAATTAACCGTGGATTCACGATCAGATAGTCCACGTCAGATATAGACGGTAGTATGTTATGCGATGAACTCCTAAGTTTAAAAGCTTTTTTGTATGGTAAGAATGTGGTTACTCCTGTTTTTATTCTAAATTTTATTAAAGATCGCAACTTACAAGAGCTATATCTAAATGTATGGATAGCATTGCGAATGTTTTTGACTATACCCGTAACGATTGCTAGTGGGGAGAGAACTTTTCAAAGCTTAAATTGATAAAAAAAGTTTATCTATTATCAACGATATCACAATCTAAGTTTACAAACTTAGCACCTCTGTCAATCGAAAATAAAATTGCTGAAAAAATCGACGTTGATAAACTAATAAAAGAGTTTGCCGATAGTAAGGCGAGAAAAGTAATATAGAAAAATTTTATTATTATTTTTCTTTCATAAATAGTTATTTATATTAATAATTGGTTATTTAATTATAACTTTTGCCTTTTTTTGTATGGGGTTATATTGAGCTAGGGGCGCCGTAGAAATCTTGCCCAGGGCGCTAGTAGTGCTAAAATTGGCACTGTTTCAAGGTTGCATAAAATAAAAACGATTTGAAAGTCGAATAAAAAGTAATTTATTAAAAAATCTGTAATATAAACAAGAAAAAAAATTAACTAAACAGGTCATTTAACTAGCATACCTTTCTAACTGCTGGCATCCTCATTACTTTAAACTTGAATAACTTAACATTCTTGGCTTCTTTCCTTTCACTTTTTTGATTTGGTACATATTAGCATAAAGAGCACAGCTGTACCTTTACGGCATTACGCACATACTCACTGGTGCATTTAACTTGGACAAACTTGGTTAGTCTGTTACTCTACTTTTTTTTTACATAAGTGACCTGTGAAAAGACTTTCTCTGCAAATGAATAAATAACCTATTGAAAAAAAACTTTTTAAAGAAAGAGCAATCAAATAATAAATGAATGGAACGAATTCAACCCGGAAAAAAAATCCTGTTTTGCAAGAGCACAAGCTTACTTAACAGCTTAACCGCAATATTATAAAAAAAAAATTTATTTCGCATTAGGTATTCTACAAAGTTTGCAATCAAACTACTAAATGACGATCATTTATTATAACAAGCGCATTTAAAATAAGAAAAAATTCAAAAAACTTAAAAAAAAATTGAATTGTTTAAAACTTTAAAAGTTATGATCAGTTCAATCCAGGTGGTTTTTGAGGTCTCCTATTAAAATATACATTCAAGTAATTAAAAAAAAATAAAATACGAATATAAAAAAATTTTCAAAATCATAGGATGAACTTTTATTTTAGAAAAATGTATAAAAAAAAGCTAAAAAAATAAAATCCTTTATTTTGTACAAAAGATACGACAAAAAAAAAAAAAAAAAAACATGCGGTTTTTGGGGCTAGTTATGCGGCGGGCTGTCTACCTGTAGATGATAAAACTTATATTATTAAGTTTGCGAAAAGTCTTATTTAGTATTTACTGCTGAACAACATTTTTCAAAGTAGATCTATAGAAATAGAAGCACAAATTTTTGTTAAAATTTATTTTAAGTTAGCTGAATTGGCTTTAAACCAATATTTTGCTCATGAGATGTATGTATTGCTTATAAAAAGGACTATAAGGTGTCAATGTTAGTTGTTATTGAGATGCTAATGGTTAATAGTAAGTCACTAATTCACTAATTCACACAAAACTCCACAAAAACTAAAAACGATAAATAAAATACCAAAATAATAAACTTATAAGAAAGACTTTGTATTTTTCATTGATTATGGAGCTTGAAATATAATATAGAGAGCTTTTGTTCATTTTTTCTATTGGTTGGAGGTGTACAAATGATAACTAACAAAGCATTGTTGCTAGGTTATTAGGTTAAAATCATAAATACGACAGTAAAAACTTTGTTATTGGGCATTAGTTTTATTTTGTTTGAAATAAACCTAGGAAAAAAAATACTCTATTTTACTACAGTATTTAACTATGCGAGGATGATATAGTAACAATGTTATTGACAGCAGAAGCTATATTTGAACTAATAGAATATAGATTATTAACAATATTTCCAAGCATAGTTTAGATACACTGCAATTACTTATGCAACAACAGTAAATTATTTGGGATGCAATTTAACGTTACAATTTTAAAAGCACTATTAATTTATTTGCTTTAAGTTAAAATTCCGGTTTATTTATAAATTTCTTATTTCAAAAAATAGAAGTTTTGAATCAATTAGTATTTTTATCTCAATAATATAGAGCATTAGGTCTAAGAATATAGAGAATTTTGGTCCGGCCATAATGATAAATAAAAGTCTTTTTATAAGTTTATTTTTTTGTCAACGAATCATTACTTTATGCGGTACGTACTCAATATAAAGAAACAATAAGATATTTATTTGACAATATAAGACAAAAAGATTTTGATACATTAAGTGTATATAATGCGCTTTATATTATACAAGCGAAGTATGTAAAAAAGACGAACAAAGATAAGTTTGATTTTTTATTGCATAAAAGTAGTATAGTAAACAATGAAATTATAAAAGTAATGAAAAATTTGTAATAATATCATAGAAATGTTAATAAAAAAATACCTTTTAGATAGTTGCTATTAATCAAGAAGACGTTGTGGCTAATACTATACTCTATATAGCAGTGACTCAGCAAGGTCACTCCATGGATAGAATTACTCCATGGATAGAATTACAAGTTAATATTAATAATCACGCTGGATATACGCCAACACACATAGCAACCAAAAAATATATATAATTATACGTGACCATCCAAATATAGACATAAACGTAGGAATAATTTTATCTTCGTTTTTTTTATTGCAAAAGTCACTCCATCAAATATTTTTCATTTACTTTAATTCAATTTAGCTAATATAGATAAGAATGTGTTTAAAGATTTAGAGGTATAGAATCAGAGGCAAACACCCACCCCACCCCCACCCCCACACCCTTAAAATCACCTCTCTATATAGAGGCGGGTGTGTGAGTGAAGTAAATTGTTGTTCAATGTTGAATCATCACCTATTGTATATATACAATAGGTGATAATTTAACACTGTGATGTGATGATTTAAACCATCACCTATTGTATATATATAATAGGTGATAATTTAGCACTGATACCTTAAGATTTGAACTTACAGTTATATAGAATTATGTTCAACTGAACCTAATGTCAAAATTTAATACATCTAAATACTTTTATCTGAAAAGGATAAAGATGAATGAAAAAACTAAATTTGTTGTTAACTGTAACACATTTTTTCAAAAATTAGTCAATGAATGTACTTAAAAATAAGATTTTTCTATTAAAATACCCTAATAAAATAGGGCCTTGCCATTTTTAGTTAGACTTTGTCAACGACATTATATGCAGATCAAATTCTACGTAAAAAAATCTAAAAATGGTTTGAATTCAAATTTTATTTGAACTCAAACCATTTTTAGATTTTTTAGACTTGGTTTAAGTTCAAATTTTATTCATAGAAAATAATTTTTTTTGAGGAGCAAAATTCTAAGCCGAATTTGATAAAATATTTGAGAACAAACATTCTTTTATATTTCTATACTAGTTTTCTATACTATTTTCTATAAGAAATTAAAAAAAAAGTCGTGAAGCTTGCGTGATTTTAGCTTCCTTAGTCACGTTGAAATTTTATAAAACGCTGTAAAACAAAAAATCGATTTTTAGATTTATTTTTAATGTTTTTTTTTCGCTTTTACGCTTTTTTAAAATGACAAACATGCGCCATTTTCACTTCAGTAAATGCACCTCGTTTCAAAAAAAAACTTGAGTGATTTTTTGAAGCATCGAATTTAATATTTTTTCTGAATATTAAATGAAAAGCTTCCTCACCTTCGGTAATGTATGCAAAAATGTGATATAAGTTCAATCGAGTCATAATTTGTTTAGAAAAGGCAATTTAAAAAATTTTAAAAATTAGACTAGAGTTTTTAATTTCTCATAAAGAATTATAATGAGATAAGTAATGCATACATGTAAACTCTTATGGAAACGTTAGTTTTAATTCCAAGTTTGTTTTTTATCATTACGATACTTGGATACATTATACCTTATATAATTTCTACGAAAAATGGTCACGTAAAATTCATATTTCCTGCTATAAGTGATACTGGAATAAATTTACCCGAATCGTTTTTTTTTCGTCAATTACTAAATCTGTCAGGATTTTTATCAATATGCAACGTATTTGTACGCTACGAACAATGTAGCTTGCATTTAGCTCAGCTGAATGATTCAAATTTGACTTTAATTAAAAAAATTAACTTTTGGTGCTTAATTAATGGCATTGTCGGTGGCATTGGTGTAACATTTGTTGCCAATTTTCGATCAGAAAAAGTTTCCAATTCTTTAAACGCTGAACAAATATATATTATATACGAGCGATCTATTCACCACTTGGCTGCTTTTCTTGCATTTGGAACAGGACTATTATATTGCATCTTACAGACATTTTCATCGTACCGATTAGTTTCTTATAATATAAATACTATTACAATATGCTACCTGAGATTAATCATTACTTTAAGTGCAGTATTTAATTTTCTAGTTTTTATTATTGGTAAAATTGTACTAAAATTTGTTGAAGAAAACAATAGCTTAAGGATTAAAGAGGAACCGTGGTTGCAACTTCGCATTATATCAAATTTTTCAGAATGGTTAATGTGCTTAAGTTTCACAACTTTTGCACTTACGTTTATATACGAGTTTCAAAAAATTGAAATAAGAGCCAATTTTAGACACCCTGATAACTTTTCTAGCTCGTCTCACTCAATCAGCTTACCGAGCTTTTTAGCAGAAACTGAGCAAAGGTCCAGTTAACAAAAAATAAACAAACAATGGAATAATACAAGTAATGTTTAAGTTTATTATTAGCCTATGTAGAGGCTGCAAACAGTTTTTTTTATAATTAGAAAAACTAGCCTGTCATACAAACACAGTATGAAAACATTTTTGATGTTGATAAAAGAATTATTGAAAAAACTGATTAAAAAGTAGAGTCCTTTTTAACACTAGATTTTTTACTAAATTATTTTAAAAACTTTGGTATGTTACTAAAAGAGTAGAGAACGTTTTCTTAACCATCAGAAAAATACACGCTAAGAGTTGACGGAATGTTAGACTAAGATTCAATCGAAAACTTTTTGATTTTTATCTTCTTTTTGAACATTTAACGGCTTCTAGATCTTCGTCGTCGACGAGGAGAGCGTGAACGAGATCGTTTTATTGGCGGTGAAGGTGAGATGGAACGTGATCTAAAAATGATAAAACAAATAAAAATAACCAAATAATAATATTTAAATAACTTTTTTACTCTTCTAAAGAATTAGTTAAATCTTTTATGAATGATAATGAAAAATTACAACAATATGGTCGCTAGTCACAACTTTTAGTCGAAATAAATAAGTCAAAAACATCAAGGAAATCTTTATCGCTATTTGAAAAAACCCCGCCAATCTTAAACAGGTTCGGCTCATATTTAAACAGTTTGGCTAACATTGTTAGATCCACTTATAAATAAGTTAAGAAATGACTCCATATACCAAAAATAAATATACTTATGTTTAATACCTTTTATTACACTATGGTGTAGTTGGTCCGGTTATGCCATTTTCTTATTTATATACAGCATTTTTTTGTTTTAATATAGTGACCTCTCCAATGCTTACCCACAAATAAATTGGGGGGTTTTATATCAGAGTTTGCCTACTCTTAAATTGCCTCACATCTATAGAGCCTCACTTACATCAGTTACTTTTTTGACTGTGTTTAAATTTAATGTGTTTAGATTTGAAAAATTTTTAAAAAAAGTTAAAATTGATTTGATAAAAAATAAATTGAATTTTATAAACTAATAATATAATATAAAAATTAAACTGAATTTGAAAAACTATAATAAATTTTCTTGAATAAATATAACTTTTTAATTAAAAGTTTAACTCCAGCTAAATCAAAAATGACTTTTCAAATAAATGCAATAGTATTAAATTGATTGTAACAGAGAAAACTTTAAAGATAAAATCAAGAAAAAATATTATCTTTAAACTAGAGGAGCCAGAAAAATAAGAAGTTTAAAAGTACACGCAGCTCACTCTATAGCATGAAACACTATTTCCTACCTACAATTACAAATAGTAAACATTCTTCTAAATTAGCAATAGTAATCAAAGCAGAACAGCATTCAAACTACTGCAAGGTAAAAATTCAATTATGATAAAGCGTTGTTTTTCAGGGTTGGGAAAAAAACCCAACCCAAAAAAACCCACCTTAAAAAAACCCAAAAAAAACCCAAAATATATTTGGCTTTTTTTAAAAATGTTCTATTTTACAACTGATAACTTTGATTTTAACACTTATAAATGCTTTATTATCAGCAAGTGCAACCTTTATACTGTAATTACTCTTGTAAACACTGTATTTATATACATAATGGTATTTAGAATATACCCAAAACCGATCAATCTGTTTTTGTCGCAAGTTGGTTATTTATTATTATTTTTAAACATTTAGCAAGTTATAATAAATGTTATTGAAATATGTATTAAAACATTAAATTAGTTAAATACTTATAAAGGAAATAAAAATCATTCTATTAACTAAATTTCAAGACATTACTAGTTATTTAGTATCTTTATTCTCCTCTCGAATGTCTATATTCCTTTATATTGGTATTTGCTCTTTTATTTTTTAAAGCTTATGTTGTAAACTGCAAATTTCAGTAGAAAGCCACAAGCAAAATACTATATATAAAAATTATTAAACTTTATTTACAGTTTAGAAATGGAAAGTTGTCAAGCCAAAAAAAAAATGCTACAGCTTACTAGATTTGTCCTTAAGTACATACAACTTTAAAACTTAAAAAAAATTAAGTTATGTGCAAGCAAGTTTGAAACATGTTTGCTCATTCAATGAGAGAACATGTTGAAAACTTGTATGCATTTCACAAAGACAAGATTTGTTGGTAAAAATGACACTCGTGCTGTCTTTTGATAGGTTTTGAATGTTTTTGAAAGGTTTTGAACATCTGTCTTTTGATAGGTTTTGAATATTTTGCATCAGCTACAAGTTTACAACATGTACCACCAACAAGGGTGACTATGAACAGCGGGTTGAAAATTAACATCAGTATCAAGTTGCTAAAAAGTGAAGAAACACACACAATAGAGCTGTATAATGCGTTACTTTGATTCAGTTTGCAATTTGCATTGCAAAACTGAGCCGGTAAAACATCTTCAAGGAAAAAAAAAAAACTTGGTGACAAAGACACTGTAATGGTTCTTAACAAATTTATTTTAGATATTTTAAGAACAACTAAAGTTTAGGCAAAATTCATTTTTTGCCAGTCCAGTTGATCAGGTGGATAACTTTTTCAGGAAGCTGGACAGTATAATGTTCTGGTAAAAAAAAAATGTAGTGATTAGGCTAGCAGTTTTCTTCTATGATACAAAAATGTTTAAAAAGTGTTCATAGTCAACTTGATTCATAATAACTTATAAGGTTGCAACATCATGTTGCAAACTTGTTGATTACATGTAAACTTGTGCAAAATAGTTTTTGAAATGATATGTTGAACATGTTAGTAAAAAAAACTAGTTTGCAACATTTATATTGTCTTACCAACTTTGAGTAACTCAATTGTCATAATAATTTTTATACTGATTTTTTTTAGTCAAAAATATTCTGAACGTATTTTTAATTTAGTGCAATTAATTAACATCATTTATAGTTGATGGAGTCCCTTTTTGCACTATAGGTAAAATGTGCTAGTAGACTAGTAGTAAAACATTTGGCTCGCAACCAGAAGGTTGGGGTTCAAATTACCTTTGCTGTAATTACTGTGCTCAATCTATTTCTCCGCACAGCGCCTTTGTTTAAAAACTTTAGTTGTTAATGTTGTTTGTTAGTAAAAATGGTAATGTTAAGGTTTGAGACAAAATATTTTTAAAAAATGAGTTGCTCCCTTGACTGAAGTGGTCATTGGAGCAATAGGATGGTGCATTTATGAAATTAAAAAAAAAATTATTGTACTCATACAATTATAAAAATTTGGTATTTTGATCGGTTTTAATAATTTAGAAGAATGTTTACTATTTGTAATTGTAGGTTTGAACCCAAAAAACCCATAAAACCCAAAAAAACCCATTTGGGTTGGGTTTTTTTAAAAAACCCTGGGTTTTTTCCAACCCTGTTGTTTTTCAACATTTATCAACAACTTAGTTTAAGTAAACTATAAAAAGAATGGTGCTGGTCAATATTCTGGATAAAAATCTTAATGATGGCGTAGCTAAAATTAATATATTTTTCACAAAATAACCCAAAGCACACATCCCATATAGCTTTCCAGTACTTTAAAACTAATACCACTAAGATATTTATTTAGCCCCCACAATCGCTAGACCTGCCCCAATAAGTACTTGAGGTAAATACTGGATTAATAGAAAAATACTAGAAATATCCCATAAAAATATGAATACTTTCTGAAATAAAATGAAGCATTTATGAGATCTATTTTTTAACATAATATTTTAAATTTTAATAATATTTCAAAATTTTGTCCAAAGAATGCAAAAATGTTTTTAAAGTAATTTAAAATTATCCAGGAAATATACATAATAATAAAACAAACAACTTTTAATACTATCATTACTTGTTACTATTTTATTTTCAAAAAAATTTGATTTATATTTTTATTTGATCTTCTTAAATTTTTTAAGATTCAAAAGTTAAATAAGGTAAAAAATTATTTTTTTCTTTTTAACTTATTTAACCTTAAATCTTAAAATTAAATTTAACAACTGTTCATTAATCAAACATTTTATATGCTTCTTCAAATTCCAGTCTAATTCTTAGAATCAGCAGTCTTGAGTATGTGTCTTTATGCATGAGGTCTTCAGTGCATGTCTTACTAATTTTTAGAATATTTAGAAATGTATTAGATGTAGCGTAATTCTTAGAAATTAATTAAAAGACAAAATAAAAACATTAGGCAAACAAAAATTTGGTCCATTGTTAAGATTTGAACACATTCAAATGTTTCTAAAAAATTTCGCACTATTTTATTAAAATGTTTCAGTCTAAACGTCATTATTCAAATTATCATTTTTTTATTAAAAAATGAATATCAATTTGAAAAAAAAACCTTTAACGCATCAAAATAAAAAAAATTAAATGCAAATTACAACATACCTTCCACGTTTTACCATTGGCCCGCTTGCAGCACCACCACCAACTCCAGCACCACCACGTCTTCTACCATAAAGTCTTCGCCTAAATTATATGAATGAAAAATATAAAAATTGTCTGATTTAATGAGACTATAGTCATTAATTATATAATTTTTTTCATAAACAAAATACTTATTATCACTAAATAATTAGATATTCTCCACTGGATTTACCTCAATTCTCTAGATATAGGTTTAAGATGCATAAAATTACAAAATCCACCCCGTGTGCATTCCCTAAAAATAAAAAATTTATAAACAAGTTATAAGTAGAAAAGTATAATTTTTTTACATCCCGCATTTTAAAATCATAAATTAAAAAAATATAGCAAAAAAAATAATTGTGCATATAAGAAAAGATTTACCCCATTTCATATTGGCGACAGCAAGATTCCCTAAATTTTAAACAAAATATTTTTTCATAACAAATTAAATCAAAATAATAAGATTGAGCTTTCCTTTTACTTTGCTATTTGTTAGTATTCAAAAGAAGTCTGGAATACTAAATTTAGTTTTCCAGCCTCGTCAAAAATGGGGTAATGCTGTTCATGATTTTAAAAAACATGACAAAAGTTGTGTTTTGCAATGCATTGCGTTTACGTTGCAACTTCAAAAGTAATGTTATTGAGGTTGATTTAAACAATTCTTGTTTAAAATATTTTTCTGATAACTGAAAAAAATTTGTTCCTATAATTACAACAATAACATTTTCTTGGTTGAAAGATGTAACAGCTTATAAAAATTTGAGTTGAGTCAGTGATCAAATATTAGCTCTTAATCTTATTAATGAGCTAGATAATAGATTTCCAGAAAATGGTATGTTTGATTATAAAGGTTTAGCAGCAGCTCCTTCAACTGAACTATCCAGAATACAAGTTAAGAAACCATGGAAATCTGATTTTTATGAATTTTTAAATTTCTATTTATCTGAATATGCCTCATTTTACTTCAATACATGCTGAGTAAAATATATGGGAATTATTTTTGAAAAACCAATCAAATATTCCTTTAACTGTTGCTAGTATTTTGAAAGTTGCTAGTATATATATATATATATATATATATATATATATATATATATATATATATATATATATATATATATATATATATATATATATATATATATATATATATATATATACATATATATATATATATATATATATATAAATATATATATATAAGAATGATGAATGAAACAATTGCTGCCCCATCCCAAACCCTCAGTTGATGTAATAGCACTCCACTGCGAGTCAGGCTATTTATCAGACGATGTATGTACTGAAGCCTCCAGCAGCAGGCTATTTCAGTATGGCGTCAGATTGCTTACCTTAGTACACAATACTATTTGTATAAAGATTGCAAAATTCAGCTTTTTATGCAAACAAATGATGAGGGTTTGACAATAAAAAGTATCATTTACCTTGGCATTACCTTACTATATATATATATATATATATATATATATATATATATATATATATATATATATATATATATATATATATATATATATATATATATATATATATATATATATATATATATATATATATATACATATATATATATATACATATATATATATATATATATATATATATATATATATATATGTATATATATATATATATATATATATATATATATATATATATATATATACATATATGTATATAAACACATATATATATAAATACATACATTCAGAATTTTTACAATAGCAGCTAAATAAACTTCTGTTTTTTAAGTTGTATTACCAAATGCATTAAACAAAAAAATAAAAAAACAAATTAAAAAAAAAAAAAAAAAAAAAAAAAAAAAAAGTGAAAGGAAACAATAAAATTAAAATAAAATTAATGCTAGAGGAAGAAAAGAACAAAATAAAACCTTAGTGGAAGAAAATGTAAATACCTCCCCACACCCTAGCTTATCACCCAATATGTGTAGCTACAAACTGAATGTTCAAGTCTTAACTGTTAAAAAATGATAATAAATTTGTTTCATGAATTAACATTTCTATATAATTAAGAAAATAAAAACTAAATATTTTTTTCTACCTAAAATCTGTAACAGGTGAAAGCTCTGCATAAATTGGTTGACCTAAAAAGTATATGTAAAATTTATAAAACCTTAAAACTTGAAAAAACTACATATTCTTTTAAATTAATAGACTGTCTGCTCAAACCAAAGCCAGTTAATGTATTCATTCAACCAAAATCAGTTGCCTCATTCAACCAAAATCTCATTTATCAGTTGCAAAAATGTTTGTACTTTAATACACTTAAATCAAAAAAAACTATTAAATAATTAAATGAAACTATTAAATAAACAAAGTGAAATAATAAAAACAGTATTGAAAAAATCTAACATCAAACTTATGGGTAATTTGATAAAGAACTAGAACTATGTTCAATTGGAACATGTAAAAATATCATTAAAAATTCGAACAATTTTTTTTTTTGAATCATAATAAGTAACTTTTTAGTATATTTATAATTTGTTTAACTTACCATTGTACCATCTATTGTTGACGTTGTCTACAGCTTTTTCTGCATCTTCTTCAAAACGAAATTTAACGTAGACATTACCAACTAAATGATCACCAAGGTTATCACAGACATTCATTTCTTCAATTTCACCGTACTAAAATATGTTTTGATAAAAGAATTTTTTTTTGATAAAAAACCTTTTTTTTTAAATAAATAACTATCAATTATTTTGATACTGCTTGGTAGTTAATTGTTATTGTTGTTGGGTACTGTTTTGGGTGTATAGTCTGTCTTATTTATTTTTAAATATTCCTTTATCAATTTTTATTTTTGTCTTGACAACTGTCAAAAAATTTTGACAGTTGTCAAGACAAAAATTTTGTTCAATAAATAATTCTCCTTTGTTCTAATGTACTTCATTTCTTCCCTAAGGCGTTCACTGCTCGTGTGTGACCATTCGGCTAATTTTATATGCCAATTTTTTTAAATATTACTTATGGTTTTATCAAAAAAAGATTTGTTTTCTTTAACCAAGATTCGATTTAGAAGTTTTTTAAATTGAAAATTAAAAATTTATATATTAAAATTTATTTTATTATATATTAAAATTAAATTAAAAATTTTTAATATAAGATTTTAGCCAATGCCTCTGCTTTTTTTTCTATGCCTAGTGTTGTAACAAGAAATACTGAAAAAGGCAAGACATGACATAAGACATTCAACCTGTCGCAAAAAAAGTGCGACAAATACAAAGACAAGTTACATATTATTTATATAAGATATATATTTGAAAGTACATCATTTTATGGTTTATGGTTATAAAAATTTTTAATCAAAAACAATAGGTTACCTTTGCTTCAAGTTCAAGAAATACGTCTTCAAAAAAATTATCATAATGTTCTTGGGCTTCCACATCATTCATTATTGAAGCTAAAAAAAAATAGACATGTATGACTACTTGTAATTTTATTAAAGCTAAAAAAATATAAGCTTTTACGACTATTTATAATTTTATTTTAAAAGGGGCGAAAAAAAATTTTGATCACAGGGAAATCATAGAATCAGTTAATTACCTGCGTTGCTTTGACCAAACTCATTAGTCACTGCAAGATTTTGAGGATTTTGAAACATATTTTGAAGTAAGATGGTCTGAAACATTGAAAAAAACTGTTATATATAAAAAAAATCTAATAGATATACTAAATTAAAAAATCATTTTTAAAAAAGTTTTTTATTTCTATAATTTTAATGTTTTAAATATTTATCAAGTAATTAAAAACTTAAGATTGTTCATATATATATATGAATTTATATTTATACATAAATATTGAATATATATATATATATATATATATATATATATATATATATATATATATATATATATATATCAACCCTCAAAATTAGAAAAAATGAGGTCAGCAATAACTTGCCGACCTTAAAATGTTAGAGGTTGGCAATTTTAAAAACCATTTATGATCAATCATGTTAAATGGTTATTAATTTATGCCTAAGTTAACTAAAGATATGCAATCACATCATTGTCTATCACTTAACAGTTAATAAAACACGAATTTAAGATCAAAAAAGTGAAAGTAAAAGAAAAAAATTGAAGTAGAAAAAATCACAATACAAATTATCTCTAATTATCTAGTCAAAAAATATTAACTCAGTTAAAAACAAATTCTACAAACTTGCAGACAATATTTATATTTTTGCAGTTGCTAAAAAAAGATGTCCTGAATTGAATTGCATAATTGAATGCATATTAGATGTTTCAACGAAATCCTGACTGCATATTTGTAGGTAGTAGTAATGGTCTACATATGAAAGAACTGATTAGTGTCAGGGATGCAGGGAGCTAATAAAAACCTGACTTTATATCTCATTTTTAGCCCATTGGCAAAACGCGTTTTGTCCGAGTAAGTCCAAGTAAACTGATTTTAAGAAAACAATGTAAAACTAAACTACTCTTAGTTGCGCATCAACTGATATTGATATTTTTATTTGGTCTAATTTAAGGACCAAAAATTTTTTAATTGGTCTAAATATTTAAATAGGTGATATATTTATAGAATGTGGAGATGGAATTTAAATAGGTAATAGATTTAGTTTTAGAATATTAACTCAAAAAAATTTTTTTTGTGACATAACGTGTTTTGAAGATGGGCTTCTCATATATAATATATTATGCATGTATAATAATGTATTATATATATGAATATGTAGGATATATATGTATGATAAATTAAAGACATTAAAGTTGAGAAGATATTGACTAGTACTGGGGATGTCCCTTATTTTAAATACCCAGCCGGATACTGGATAATTGAAAATCATCTGGTCAGATATAATTTTAAATACTGCTTCTAAAAACATGTTTTCATTACAAAACATTTGATGCTTATTTTGATGTGAAATATTTTAAAATTTCGCCACGGTAAATATTTTAAAAATGAAGAGTTTCTAAAAGATTTAAATGATTCCTGAAACAAATTGCACCATATTAATTGTTAATAAATATGAAATATTATTAGATATAAGTTAAATTAAAAAAGCAAAAGTTTGTTTTTTTAATTTCACTTCTTATTCAAGATAAATTTTAAATAAAGTATTTATTAAAATGATATAGAATATTATATACAGGCTTGGTCGGGAAGGGGGAGCGATCGCTCTTAAATACTGACCACAGAAATTATATTTAGTTGCGAAAAACTGGCCAGGTTTTTAAGTCGTTTTGAGAACATTTAAGTTTATGTACGAAACAAAAAATTTTTGTTTTACGGACATACATGGACTCATAAACGGACATACATGGAAACATTTGTTCTAAACGTAATTTATTTAGCTTTAATTTTTTTGTTTTGTAATTGTCATTCATCCGTCCAATTAATCTTAATCGCTTTTTTTTTTTTTTTTTGCTTTTAAAAATATTCTCAAAACGACTAAAAAATCTGGTCATCTTTTTGCAACTAAATATTATTTACGCAGCAATCGAGAGCGATCGCTCCCGCTTCCCGACCAAGCCTGTATATAGGATAAAAGTCAAAGCAAATACATTAAAAAAAAAGATTACTTTAGATAATCAACCAAATAGCATTAGTAATACTAAATAGTTGGTTATCATTTACTGCTAAAATAATTAGCCCTTAAATTAATAGCACTACCAAAATCTTCTGCATTTTTGGAGACCTTAAAACAGATAAATGCTATTATTGGTACAAAATAGTGCAAATAATTTCATAAATGAGAGATAAAATCTGTATTGCTTATACAAAGTTCTTATTATTCTTATTAACTCTCTCCTCGAAATTAGAAACATTTGTTTGGTAATATTTTGCCAGTCGGCATCAGGTTGGCAAAAAAAAAAAAATTTCATACAAAAGTTTTACCATAAAATGTAGAAACTTGGTAGGTATTTTTTTTGCCAACTTTAAACACTAGATTGGTACTTAGGTCAAGCATTGCTAAATGCTAACCCTAATTCCAAGAGCTGATTACTTAAATATAAAACTGTAACAAAACTTATTAAAATTTGTGTTCTAGGTTCTCTAAGTCAGTTAATTATTAAATGGTTTGATTAGGTTTGTGAATCTTTAAGACTGCAGCTAACAAAATAATTGTGTATCTTTAAGGCTATAGCAATAGTTAAAAAAGTTTTTTCTGAATATTTATTAGCATAATATATCCGACGTTGCCAGCTGGATTATTTTATTATCCAGCCGATTATTAGATAATATAAAAATCTGGCTTGGATTTCTGGCAGAAAATTCTCTTTTACATACCTCCAGCTAGTACCACAGCTAAATTTAAAAAAAAAAAAAAAATTTAAATTAATACAATTTGCCTTATAATAAATTGTGAAAATTACCTGACTATAAGTGGGCTTGTTGTGAAGTCTAGAACATTTGTCACCATGTCGGCATGCTCCAATTTTAAAATAAAATGAGCAGTTTACTCTGAAATACATATATAACAACAATACATAAAAACAATAATAATATATAAAAATGACTAGCATATTATAGCATTTATATTATAATGAAAAATAAAAATAATAAAATAAAATTTTTACATTTAATTTAATGTTGCTATTTTCTGATTTTAATATAACAAACATTGCATTTTTTTTTAATATTACATAGTGAAAGAGTTAAAGGAATTTTATACAATCAGATGCAAACAATCTAAAATCTTTAAATAATACCTAATTTAACACCTACATCATAGATATTTTATGAATCCCATGTTTAGAATTCAGGATGTATACTATACATAATGGTATTTGCATATACTAGCATATATTATATTTATATCAACATATTTGAAAACAAAATACAAAAACGTTAGTCATACAACGAGGTGAAGAAATAAATTATTTAGTAATACGAGATCATAAATTAATAGCAAGAAAGTGAAGACTTTAAAAAGTGCCAGGTGTCATAAAACAGTAAGTAATTCTAAAGCGCTAATGTCTAGCAAAAAAAAAAAAAAAACTTTTTTAAGCATTAAAGAATAATACAAGTAAAAAGATGAAATCGCCTGACACTTATATAAGTCAGTTTAAATGGGGTAAAGCAAGCCAGTTCAAAATGATTTTTTTTTTTTTTAATATCAAAATTCAAAAAAAACTTTATTTAATAAAATGTTTTTTAGGTTGCATCATGTTTTACTTTACATTAAAAAAAAAAAAAAAACAGTGAAGTACATCTAGTTATTTTAAAATAAAATCGCTTCAATAAGTAATATGCAATTTGTAATAAAAATAATTGGAAAAAAAAAAGAAAAAAAATTACTAATTATAATGTATTTGGTATTTTTAAATAAACTCGATAAGTTCAAATGATTACTATTAGAATTTAATTAAAAACTGTATTTAAAAATTGCGAGAATAAAAAAAAAAAAAGCTATAGAGTTTCAAACAAGCTATTTAAACTTTTAGTATTTAATTTTCAATAGAAAAAATTTTTTTTCAGTGTGCTGTGGATACTTTAGGAAACGAAAAAAATTTTAATTCTGGCATGTTAACTTTTTCCATAATGGCGAACTAAAGTTGAGATTTTCGTTTTAAAAATAATTTTTTTTGTGATTTTAATGATCTTAATCTTAAAAACTAGTTAAAAGATGAATACAAATCAAATTGCTGATCTACATGTGGTAGATAAACATTTTTAAAAAAAATAAGTTGATCAAAAAGCTGCATTTTAAAAGTTATAGGTGTCCAAAATGAGACAGATCGAGATTTTTGTAAAATTGATCAGTGATGCAAAGCATCTGTTACCTAAGATGGCACTTTTTTTTTTCATAAAACTTTTATATACGCATCAATTAAAGAGTGTTAATTAATAAAAACCAAAAAAATTAATGGTTGCTTATTTATAACCCCCAAAAGGTAGTCTCTAAAAGTCAGGTAAATTTTCCATAAAAAATTATTACTTTTTAAAAGTTAAGTTATTGTTCATTTAACTCTATATTACTAGTATGTCAATCTAAAAAGTACTAATAAAAACAAATAAATTGTAGAAAAAAACCTTTTTTCTTGTAGAGTGAATTTTTATGCAAAATAGCCCACTACTTAAATAGCGTTTTATCAAGAACCATATTAGATATTGATCTAAAATTTTTAAAATATGCTTTTCACATATATATATATATATATATATATATATATATATATATATATATATATATATATATATATATATATATATATATATATATATATATATATATATATATATATATACTAAATCAAAAAATTTCAATAAAATCTGAGATGGTCAATGAGGGACCTCATTAAAATTTGCACCACTCGGCACGGAATGACCCATCAAGACTTATATTATACGATCGCAATTTGCAAACTCTGGTAAAATATTAATTCTTTAAAATTTTAGTTCATGCAAAGCTGTGTACTTTGTTTATAAGGAAAAAATTATTAAAAGTTTGCTAGCGAGAAAGTTTAAAAATCAAAACAAAAACAATAAACTTACGACTACAAAAGTAATAACACTTTAGTCACTAACTGCATTATAAAAGTAATAAAACTATAATAGTGTTATTACATTTATAAAGCACTTATTACTTTTAAAGTTCATTCTTTGTTCAAACAACATTATTAATTCCAAACATTTATTAAAGTAGAAAAGCATCTAGCAAAAATAAGGTGGATATTCAAATATTATTAAAAATTTCAGGAACATTCACATATCACTTAAACAACATTATAAAAAAGTACTTTATAAAAAGTATAGCATTATGAAAAACATTATGTAAAAACGCGCGTTAATTTTAAAATCAACCAATAAAAATTTTTTATTGGTTAATATTAAAATTAACGCACATTTTTACGGTCCATTAGTAACGTTTTTCATAATGCTAAACTTTTAATAAGATAAACTTTTAATAAGGTTTTCATAATGTTGTATCACGTTTTTATAAGTTACTTTAGTTTTAATATTATTTGAACATCCACTTTATTCTTCTAGATATTTTTCTACTCCAATTAAAACTTGGGATACTAATGTTGCTTGAACAAAGAATGATTTTTAAAAGTTATAAGTGCGTTATAAAAGTAATAATACTATTATAGTGTTATTACTTTTGTAATGCAGTTAGTGACTAGAGTGCTATTACTTTTGTAATCGTAAGTTTATTGTTTTATTTTTTATTTTTTTGCTAACAAATATAAGTTGATTCTCCCCTTAAAAACATGAAACACGGTTTTGTATAAACTAAAATTTTGAATACTAGATATTTTTCCAGATTTTGTGTTTTGCATTCGCTTAATTCAACCCTTGTTGTTACATTAAAATTATACAAATAAATTTTACAAACACATTGCAATTTGTATTTTTAAAAGATTGAGAAATGCCTAAAAGTTGACATTGCCCAACAGGTTCAAGCTCTTATTGATTCTGTTTGAAGACAAAAAATGGCTTAATTGAAAATCAATAAAACTTTTTACAATCAAGAATGTGATGCTTTAATCTAATCTTTTCAGTTTTTTGAAAAATATTGAAAAATGAAGGAGTAACATCTTTTTAAACTTTTCCTACCTTCAACTTGGCACCTGTTGGCTTTTTTTATCAAAAATTTAAAAACCATGCAAAAATGCTAACTGCCTGCGCAAGCGCAATCAGCCAAAGCAGCTTGTTTTAGACAGGAGTTTCTATAATATATATACAACCCTCGGAATTAGGGTCGGCATTCATCAATGTTGACTCAACTGCCGACCTAGAAGTGTTTGAGGTCAGCAAAAATTGCTGACCTCGTTTTCATGTTTTATGGTCAAACCTTTGTTTTACATTTTTTTCTGCAGATTTGATGCCGACCTCACATAGAATAAGATATGCAAAATATTGCCGACATATGTATATATATGTTTATGTATATACATTTTGTATATGTATATGTATATGTATATGTATGTATATATATATATATATATATATATATATATATATATATATATATATATATATATATATATATATATATATATATATATATATATATATATATATATATATATATATAAGGTGTACACTTATGGTCACCCAACAATACTAAGCAATCAAATTTTGTGAAAGACAACTAAAAATATTCTTTTGATGCAATAAAGTTGCCAAAAAAAGGCAACTATTAAATTTTATATATATATATATATATATATATATATATATATATATATATATATATATATATATATATATATATATATATATTTTCTTACTTGAAATTAAATTTTTTTCTGAAAATATCCATAAAAATTTCAGAAAATATTTTTAAGAAATACCTAGAAAAATTCCTGAATTATATATGCATTTTGAGTAATTAAGAATATCTCATATGATTGAAAAGTAATTCATAGTTTGAATAAAACTTTTCATAGAATCAGTACTGGTAAACAAATACTTTTTTTTTTTTTTAATTTATTTATTTTACTTCACCTCCTCAAGGCCGAGAAGGCCACTACAAACGAGGAGGCTACTTATTTTGTGGCTATAACCCTCTCTCAACTCTATAACTCCGAAACACGAACCTTGACGAACAAGGCCGCTGCGCGGAGAAGCGAGTTGAGCGCGGTACTACCAGGGACGTGGTGGGGATCGAACTCGGAACCACTCGTTTATGAAGCGAGTGCTCTACCACTACACCACTACCGCCTCAGAGCCAAACCATTATTTTAAAATATATCAAAAAAACTTTTTAAAAAAAAAATACATTTTTTAGTTGTTTTTTTACTATGAAAAGAAAACTTCAAAGAATAAATACAATTTTAGAGGAACATTTTTTATTCTAATTTTAAAGGGACTACTAAGTCCCGAGACATGTTGTATTCATATTAAAGAGAATGTTAAAAAAAAATGTCTGAGCAAATTTTTTTTGATTAAAACTAATTAATAAATGTATACCAAAAAAAACAAATCTTGTTGTTTTAGTCGAAGCTTGTCTTCTCAATTTTCTGTGGTATTTTGGGTATGTAAAATAAACTCGATTTTTCAGGCGCATTTTACAGACTTGATAATTTATTCAAGTGTGTTTAATTCATAGAAGTTTTAGTACATGACATCATTAGAAACATTCTAGAAATTCTTAAAAAATTTTACTTCCTAAAACATTTCAACAGAATACTCTAGAACTTTATTTTGCTTAGTCAGCGTATTTTTTGAACCAATAGAATTAGTTTGTTCATAAATTTGGCAGGTTTTTAATGTTGGGGAATATTATTTGTATTCTTCCGCAAGAAGTTTAAGAACATTCAAGTTAATTATGTTTCCATGTATGTCTGTAAAATAAAAATTAATACATATTCAGGCCTTCTCGTAAGAGGCGTGCGATCGCACGCCTTATATGACCACGCATAAAGTTCTTTGTTTTGATTGCAAGTTTTGATAATTAGCGCATTTAAAAATTGGGCTAAAAAAAAACAAAGCATATTAAAATAAACAATCCATAAACTGAAAAGAGAATAAAATCCTTAAAATAATATATATAACAAAAATTAACCTAAAAAAGTGCAATATTTAAAGAATGATAAAATAAAGGAAAAACCAGAAAAAAAATCAAAACATGTATTAATTAATTTAAACTTAATTGGAAGCAAAAGTGAAAAAATCACAGCTCTAATAATCTTTATCATTCCTTCCCATGAATAAATAAGCTAATACAAGGGCGGATCCATAGTGAGGGAAAGGATAATGAAATTTAATAAAATTTTGTGATACAAATTTAAAATTTCATTAAAAAGTTAATAGGATACAGGGTGCAACAAATCAACAAATGTGCGTGCATTTCTTCAAGACAGACAAAAAAACAAACATCGCGTTTCTTTAATTTTGCTTATGCAAACGTTGCGGTTTGATTAAGATTTTTCAAAACAAACGCTTTACTTCAGCAATTTTTTCAAAATAATTTTGCGATTAATAGTTTTTTATTTATTACAAAAAACACATATTTAAAATAAAAAAAAGTTAATTGCAGAGACTTTTTTTTAAAAATGCCAAAACATAATTACTTTTTTCAATTGCATCACTTTTAAGTAAAATAAAAAAAGTAATTATGTTTTAGGATGGTTTTTGCATGCGCTTACAAAAATATGATAATTTTACATAAAATAGATGCTATTGCAAAAACTTCAAGAGAAACCGTCCTTAAACAATTTGATTGCTTTCTTTTATTGAAGAAAGCGATCATAATGTTTAAGCTTGGCTTCTTTTCTGCTTTTAGCAATTACATTAAAAGTTTAAAGCAAATGATTTCATTACAAATAAAATTGTGAATGCTTTTTTTTTTTTAATTTTCTTATTTTCCATAAACTGAAATAATGTTTGTTTGCATATTAAAAACACTTTTAAAAGTTTTTTTATTGTGCGTTTATCATTAATTTGTGCGCGCTTTGCAAATCTGTAAAAAAAAGAGTCCGATCTTTATTAGAAATTATAGTTTCATGATAAAAAGGTTTGTAATTTTTTTTTTTGATAGCTTCTGTATTTATTTAGCCTTAAACTCTAATCTGAATATTTTTTTCAACGATTGCTTTTATTAAGTTGCATTAAAGTATTCAGGAAATTTTGTGGCAGTTTAATAAATTATGGAATCAATTAAATTAAAAATTGCATTTATATTTGCTTTGTTTTCTTTAAGCGCATTTTTTAACGCTAATTATCGAAACTTGCAAAAAGCCGTGGTCAAGTTGTTAAAACAAAGAACTATATGCCTAGTCATATAAAGCGTCCGATCACACGCCTCTTAATTATTTAATTTGTAAGTCCCCGCCATAATATAAATTACTCAAAACACCACAGAAAATGGAGGAGACGAGCTTCGACTAAAACAACAAGATTTTTTTTTCTTGGTATACATTTATTAATTAGTTTTTATCAAAAAAAAATTGCTCAGACGTTTTTTTTTAATATTTTCTTTAATATGAACACAATATGTCTTGGGACTTAGTAGTTCCTTTAATAGCATTCAGCTATTAAAGCTTATAAACATAATCTTAAGAATAAACAAATTGGCCTGTAAATAAAATCAAAATAAACAATTTCTCAAAAAAACTTCAAGTAACGCATTAACTTTAGTTTATTTATTATTTAATTATTATCATAATACAGGGTAAAAATACTAAAATGCCATCTAAACTGTAAAATAAAAATCTGTAAGTTATTAAAAAAAAAGGCCAATACTGATTCTGATTGTGTAAAAAGTGGCAGATTAAGTTAATGCTGATAGTAATTAAATTATGCGTGTAAGAAATCGAAGGCAAGCGGTCAATTTGACCAGCTAACCTTTGGAATTGATGGTCAACTGTTTTTTTTGGACGGTCAACATTTTTATTATTTTCTTAGTTTTCATTTTAATCTTCGTCATAGTTCTTCATGACTTAACTTTATAATTACAAAAATAACTTAATATTTGAGAGTTAACAAATTAGTATTCCTTTTTAAACTTGCATATAACTAACATTAAAATTGCACGCCAAATAGTTTAAAATTAGGCGCGCAAATTTACATTTTACTTCTTAAAGGAAGTTTGATAAACTAATAAATTTTTTCAAAATTTTAATGATTATATGATAATTTAGTACATGCTTTTTCCAAATAATAATCTGGTTATTTTTTAAATCTTGTTTATCAAAACTGATTATTTTTGAACCGGTCAACCATGACCGGCAAGAAATCATTTTGGAAGGTCAAAATAGCATTTTTACTCATTTTGGGCAGTCATTGACCGTTGACCCCTTTCATGCAATAGTTCATTGTTTGCTTTAAAAAAATAATTAACATTTTTTTAAAGCAAACAATGAACTAAGACATGAAAGTTAATTTAAATCTTGAATATAATACCTATTTACATCAAAAACAATTTAAACTTACTTGTCTTTCTCAGTACCAAATATTGAAGCAAGATACTCCGCCATTTTACTTCTCGGTACAGGTGATCTTTTTCAATTACAAAATTTTTATTTGTTGATTTTAAAATCGCCTAATTTTAAAATTGCATTGATTAATATATAATATAACAAATAATTATTAAAATATTTGAAAAAAACGATTAAAAATAAATTAACATATTTGTGTAACCTTAAATAATTTGTAACATATATTTCTAGCCCTCAGAATTCAAATATATCTATATCTATATCTATCTATCTATATATATATATATATATATATATATATATATATATATATATATATATATATATATATATATATATATATATATATATATATATATATATATATATATATATATATATATATATATATATATATATATATATATATATATATATATATATATATATATATATATATATATTAGGGCTGTTTAGTATGCTAATTTGTTTTCAGAACATAGCTTATTGAAGTTTTTCCCAATTCAACTATCATATTGTGGCTCAAAAAATTTTTTTACTAAATTTTATTATTTGCCCTAAAGGTCCCTCAAAGCCCCTAAACATTTGACAGGTCCCTAATATTATTAAAAAAAAATTATTTAAAAATATGTCAACTTGGTACTCAAAAGAAGCAAAATTTTATAAAAATTTTTAAAAATTAGATTCATTTTTTATAAAAAACAACTTAAAAAAACTTATTACTAAAATTGTTGAGAATTTACCTTTTTTTCATTTTTCGTTTAAAAACCATAGTTTTTATTCAAAAAAACCTAATATTGCTATATATATAGCAAATACTTTTTGATTTTGAAATTTTTAAAAGATTTTGCTTCTTTTGAGTATCAGGTTGACATATTTTTAAATAATTTTTTTTAGATAATATTAGGGACCTGTCAAATATTTAGGGGCTTTGAGGGACCTTAAGGGCAAATAATTAAATTTAGTAAAAAATATTTTTGAAGCACAATATGATAGTTGAATGGGAAAAACTTCAATTAGCTATGTTCTGAAAACAAATTAGCATACTGAACAGCCTTAATATATATATATATATATATATATATATATATATATATATATATATATATATACATATACATACAACCATCAGAATTAAGAAAAATGAAGTAGGCAATAATTTGCCAACCTCAATCTTTATGAGGTTGGCTACAAAAAAACTGATACAAAGGTCTGACTGTAAAACATAGAAACGTATATATATATTGTATATGTATATATATACATATATATACATATACATTTTTTTTAACATTCTCTTTAATATGAACACAACATGTCTCAGGACATGGTAGTCTCTTTAAAATTAAATATGCTAACCCTAATTTCGTGGGCTGTATATATATATATATATATATATATATATATATATATATATATATATATATATATATATATATATATATATATATATACATATATATATATATATATATACACATATACATACATATACATACATATACATACATATACATACATATACATACATATACATACATATATATACATATACATTACCGAACGTTTCTATGTTTTATGGTCAGACCTTTGTATCAAATTTTTTGCAGCCAACCTCATAAAGAATGAGGTCTCCAAATTATTGCCTACTTCATTTTTCCTAATTCCGAAGGTTGTATGTATGTAAGTATATATGTATGTATATATATATATATATATATATATATATATATATATATATATATATATATATATATATATATATATATATATATATATATATATATATATATATATATATACACATAGATACAGCGGGGTGCAAAAAAAAGCCACAATCAATTTTTTTATAAAAACAACAACAACAAATGTCTAAAACTCATGTTACTTCTATTACAGCCAATATTGATAAAAATGTTTATAATATAATTGTATATTACATATAATAAAAAGAAATTAGGATTTGTTAAATATTTTTTAGGTTAAAGCTGTTTTAGTATTTAATTGGCCATCCTTTGTTTCTTTTGACTTCCGCGCATCTAGAAGGCATACTATCTACAAGTCTTTTTAATAAGTCATTTGGCAAAGCATTCCAACCATCAAGAAGAGTTTGGAATAGATCATCTTCATTTGTTGCTCTACGATCTTGCAGTTTTTTATCCAAAATAGACCAAGAGTTTTTTATTGGATTTAAATCAGGAGACTGTGCTGGCCAAGACATAACTGGAATCAATTTAGATTTTAGATATCTTTTATTCAACCGTGCTGTATGTTTGGGATCATTATCCTGTTGAAAGATATAGTCACCATTAGGAAAAAGTTCTTTTATACTTGGTCCAAGCTGGTTAACTAAGATTTTGTGATACAAATCCTGGTCCATAATGCCCTTCACCCGGTAAAGTTTTCCAACTTTGTGTGCATCAAAACAACTCCAGACATAAATCTTTTTGTCATGTTCAATAGTTGCCTTGCACGTTTGAGGATTAAACTTTCCCCCAATTAATTTCCGACAGTGAGATCGACCATTATAATACAAAACAAATGGAGACTCCAGATAACGTTATTCACATGTCCAATCTTTGTGCTCAATGCAACACTTTACACGCTTTTTTTGATTGATTTCACTAACAAAAGGTTTTTTAATTTGCTTTCCAGAAAAAAAATTTTGATGTTTTAATCCTGCGAGATATTGTCCACTTTGAGATATTAGTAAGGTTCAAATCTAGTTTTATCTCAGAACGAGTGATTTTACGATTTTTTTTGACAGCATTAAGAATGTAGCGATCTTCCTTTTTAGAAGTTTTGGGTTTTCTCCCAGATCCAACAGCCCTTTTAGTTTTACCAGTGTGATAGTATTTCTTTACCAATCTACTAATAGTTGAGTTTTCTCGTTTAAAACGCTTTCCAAAGCTTCTGTGAGACTCTCCTTGGTCAGCAGCTTCAATAATTCGTCCAATTTCTACATTTGTAAGATGTTTTCACTTTTATATGTATACACTGAAGTCATGGCCAGAATGTCTACTCAAAATTTATAAAATTCCAACACTTATTACTTCACTTAGATAAGTTTTTCCAGGATTTCAACCCAGAAACCCATACCTTTTTCCAGTATTAGCATAAAAAAGTACTTAAATTTTGACACAAATAATATTTTCGAAGTGATACAAGAATTGCCTTATATAGCCATTGTAAAGACAAAAATAAAAGTATGTATTTTAAAACTAAATACTAAATACTACATAAACTTGTGTACTACAATTTAATCAAAAAAAAACTGTAATAAACTAAAGACATTAACACTAAAAATAATATACTCAACACCATTTAGTATTAAATGTTTAGAAAATAAGACAACAAATACAAGGACTTAAATATACTTTTTTTTTAATTCAACAAATTTCAGAATTACTAAAACAAATTAAACTTAATGAAATTCTGAAGAGTCAGTCATAACAATGACTGAAGCACAAATTTAAGCAACCGACTTAAAAAAAATTTAAAACAGAAACAAAATAATGACAGCTAACAAATAACAATTTAAAATAAAGAACTACTTGCTATACCAAGTTATTATATAAAAAATGAAGGCACAATCCATTTAAAGCATTTTTTATTCTAGTTGAGATTGATAAGTTGCGAAATTTCTCAAAAAATCACAAAATTAAAAATTTTAAAGGAGAAACAACTTAAAGTAATTATAACAATAAGATATACTGAAATAAAATAAGCCATTTCTTAATAAAAACTAACTTTACAATTTTTTTTCTTTCTTTTTAATTTGTTTTTCTCAACCTCTTGTTTAGTTTCAAAACTTCTTTTTAATCCATTCCCTTTCTATAAACTCCATAGTCAAAGTTTCCTTAAATATGAACACTCTGTAACTATGCAACCTTTGAACAACAAAACAATTACTATACTTTTCAGATATAAATCATTAAACAAAAACTTTACTTTGTCTAATTTTTGCTTTAAAGTAATTTTTATGGCCATATATACATAATATATATATATATATATATATATATATATATATATATATATATATATATATATATATATATATATATATATTTATTTATGTATATATATATATATATATATATATATATATATATATATATATATATATATATATATATATATATATATAATTATAATTATTATTAAGTTGAAACAGACTGTATAATATATAATAATGTATAATATATATATATATATATATATATATATATATATATATATATATATATATATATATATATATATATATATATACATATATATATATATATATATATATATATATATATATATATATATATATATATATATATATATATATATATATATATATATATATATATATTATATGCTTCGATAAAAAAAATATATATATATATATATAAGATTGCAACGATAAAGAAATTTCTGACGCCAGACCGCTCAAAATGTAGTCATATTTCATGAGCATTAAATGTGCGTTTGAATTTACGGTTACCGAGAGCGCAGGCGCCTTGAATCAAAAATTAAAATGGAATAAATTACTTTTTTTTAGACTTCGTTTTTTTTAGTTTTTCAACAATACAACTTGTAAATGTTGTTCGATGATTGAGCGGTTTTGTTGTAAAACATTTGTTGCAAAATTTTTTATCAAGTAAATTTTTTTTTCAGATTAAAATATTTTTGTATATATAATTAAAACCAATTATTTCAATTCTGATTCATTTTTTTCAAAATAAAATAGGGTCACAAGAAGGACTAACTATATCTGAAATTGCTTATATAAAAAAAGATTCAATTGAGTTTATTTATGTTGTTAAATGAGGACTTGAAGGAGACGATTGTTTTTCTTAGTTCAATTTAAATCTTGATGAGTAACTGAAGGTTCTTTTGACATTGTACTTTTTTCTGAATCAAGTTTACTCTTAAGACTTCAAATATAGGACTAGGGTGTGCTTTGGCCGAACTCAATTTCTGATTCTGTTTAAATTTTGCAAACCAATTCTCTTAAAGCATGCTAAAGATAGCAGGAGGCGCACAAAGCCTTTATGATATCCGGGGTATATTAAAAAAAAAAACTACTGGATGCTCTCCCCCTCCCCCTTAAAGCCACCAAAG